GAAAGAAATTGACAAGATTTATCGATCGCTTAACATCAAGTTGCGCGTGTGTTTTTCGTAAAACAGCATGAAAGCATCGAAAACCTCGTCACATCCATGTCGTGTCCCATAGCTTAATTCGGCATACGATTACGAACGTTTAATTACTGTTATTTGATTTGTTTTAAGTCTAAATTGTATAAATTTTAGCTTTTACGAGTAGAAACAAAATACGTTAAAATTTAGTTGATCTAGATCTACTCTACAATCAAGCATAACTGTATAGGTACAATGGGGACTTAAGTTATCTGAACTGATGCTACGACGAAAAAGGATCTGAAACCAATTAATTGTTGTGGTATACTTGGCCGTATAGGATGGCGATAAAAAGGGGCAGAAAGAGAATTTTCACAAGGACCTGTAATGTCTCGGAAGGAAGAAAATACTGGGTGCGAACAATTGACCATTTTGCTTGGCAGAGTTCCAGACGTACTGTCACATTGAGACACAGAAAGCAAAGGAGAGAGATACGTCGCTGTTGCAAGCAGAGCAAAAAAGGAAGAGGATGATGAAGAAAGAGTGGGCGTCGGTCAGCCAGGTTTTGCCTTGGTTGTAAGAATGTCGAGGATTCCCGTGTTCAGCAGGAACCTTACAGGATCGTGCTTCTGCTATCAAGCAACCAGGTACTACGTATCTCCTCTATACGCTAGCAATTCTACGCTCGATCAGGCTAATCCTTCAGAGATGATGCAGGATCGAGTGCAAGTTGGAAAATTAATTGAACGATTTTACAAATGGTCGACAGCTCGTCCGTGTTTCTGCTCCTCGTGAACAATTTTTGGTTTAACACGCCGATTGATTCAATCTCTTACTTCACAAGCAAAGAAGCATATATCATAGCTTCGAACAAGAGAATGATGAAAAAGCCGAAAAAAGACTAGTGCGGCAATTTGTACGTTGTAATACTTAATTTGCCTTTCACTTTGCTGGCTCGTAGTTGCACGTTCGATAGATTGGCATTGCCCAAACAACTCCGAACTATTCGAGAATGTACGCTAATAAAAATACGTACTCCTAATTACTACTGAATCTGTCGAAAAGTTGTTCTGCAATTTCGTTTAATACGATATGATATTAATACCGTAAAGAGAGTAATTTTTGGTAAATATTGTCGGTACTTCGGGAAGTTTAAACACAGTTTAAATATAGAAGTTCGAGGACTGCAGCGCAATTAATAAGAAAAAAAGATAAGAGTTAGAAAGATACTGCAGACCTGAATATTCTAAAGCAGATAGAATCTGTAATCGCGGTGCGAGCAGCAAGTAGAACAGAGGTTACAGGGAGTATATACTTATATTGAATTTCCGCTCCTAGAATGGGAGACACGGATAGACCAAGGAAAACTTTCGCGTGGCCCTGGAACGATTCTCGTGAGTCAAACCGCAGTTTCTACACGATGCACGACTAACTACCGATGACTCATGGACAAGCATCTATAATGGAACGAAATCCCACGATTATTTTAAGCAACATTATCAAACTATCAAAAGATCGTTAGCATCGCAACATCGTGTAGATATGAAATTTCTCATTATATTTTCTAGCGAACGGCAGCGGAGTATCATTTTATTCATCTACCACCAGATTGTTTCTAATGAAATCGTGATACATAATTTCAAAGCGGTATCAACGTATTTTTTGCTGAACAAGTGATTTATTATTTCATTGGATCGTTGCGAAATACGAAATAAATTTCGCGAAATGGAATTATTGTATTTTAGATCACAAATTCGACATTTAAAATTTATTAAATATAGAGATAATCTAAGAATCACCGACGATGTTACTGTATCAGCAATGGGAAATGTCATCCTTCTTAAATGTATCAATAAAATATCCAATTCGTGAATTGAGCATTCGTACAATAGAGCATAGTATAAAACATATTATGTATAAGTGATCGAACGAATACAACGAAAGGCATTTATAATATCAAAATCGTCGAGATATATTATCGATATTAAGAAGTAAAATCTCCGAGGTTAAATGCCAAGATGACGAGACTACTAGACATATAGAAAGATAGCGAATCGGATGACCGCGAACCGTAAAGGGGTCTCTTTGTTTATGGTATGTTCGTAGTCGTTGCGATGGTCGTTCCGATGCACAATCGAATCTTATTTGGTGAGAGCCGCTTCTACGTAGGCGTGCATCTTTTTACTCTTTCTCATTTGTACATCTCTCTTTCGCGCCGTATGAACTTTTGCCTTCGAGCTCTCGACATTTCATACGAACGAAAAAATCAGTGGCTCTCGCGTAAGCAATAAATTTTAACAGCAGAGAATAGTAATATGCCTTTGAAGAGATTACACAACAACCCGACTACCCTAACAATAAATTGCTGGAAAAACGTATTTAACGATAGAGAAAATATTTCTCTTTTCATTTCTACAATAAGCCAACTCGCTCTCTCGCTGTAATTCTCGTTCTATCATTTTAAAGTCGAATTTAACTGCAATGCAGATACACATAGCTGGGAGAACCACTGTCATAAGTTCACTCGAGTTCAAGTATTAGTAGCTATATATTACGGGCCACACGTGTTGATACCGATCAGCATGTTACTTATATTACACCTCGAGGATAGTAAAGATAAAAATGATTCTGCTGTTCTTACGTCAACGTAGTACGCATAGAAAGTATGCGCAAAGCACGTCAGACTCAACCCAGATCTGTCCAACTTCTTTTATCCCTTTTCATCTACTTACTGTATTTATTAGTTACAGTAGTTCATTGAAAACTTTTATGTATATGGATATAAAACATTTCTACGCGACTGCCATGGCAAGTGTTAGAAGTGGTCTGACTGGATACCGAGCTTTATTAATGTAGTAATTGACTGCTTAAATTCTTCTGTGATATATGCGAGATACGCTCTTGCATTAAATATCTTGTAATTTCTATCTACATATTTAAATTTCTTTTCAACTACGCCAATATAATCACGACAGTCGAGTATCATACTAAAGAAATTAGAAAATGTTTCGTATAACACACATAATATATTCGTTCGAATACTCTTGTTAGTTAATGCTTATATACGTTTACGTATGGAGGGACTTGAGATGTCTATTATCGTAAACTAGACAATTCGAGAGTCAGTGAGCCACATCACACGTTTTATAGTCGATCAAAGTGATTCAATTAATATCCTATTACATCCGAGCGTTCACGCACGTCGACGCAAATGGAACTTGTATAGTGTTTCGAAAGACAGCTCGGCGAGCGTCGTTTGTATGCACACCGACGTATATTTCTCTGAATTATCGAATACATTTGTGCATCTTAACGAATACGGACAATACTATCTTTAGAAATAAAAGAAACGTAAACATAACAACTGTTCAAGAATAACTGCATCTGTCTTCTGTGAAAGACGTTTCTTATAAATAACATGATTAATTTCAAGAATTATATTTAGAGCAGCGTATATTCTATGAAAATGATTGAAAACGAAACGAAATAACAATCAAATTGTAATTTTTTTAGGAGATCGTGTGTCGTTAAGAACATTATATCAATACGTCTATACTATGCAATGATAATATCGTTTCTCTATCGAATTCAGAAGCCAAACTCTGATCAACTCTGTACATTGAAAAATACCGGAACGTGATGACGTTAGAAATATTTCTCATCTGCTTACGAGAAACCCTTGGAATTTTAGTTACTTTTTTCAAGAAGTTGGACACTAATTCTGTATACAGACGACAAAATTCCAAGATTTACGAAAGGTGGAGTTGGACCGGAATAGATTCTGAGAAACTAAAAAATATCAGCATTGGTATTGACAGTTCTGCGATTTTATCGCAGAATGATTCACTCGAAGCTGTCGAATCTAATCCACGAGACACGCGTTCGATACGAAACCTAGGGGCTCTAAAAGGATCTGAAAAAAAAGGAGAAGCATACATATAGCTAGTGTTTGACTCACCAGCACTTTGGTAAAGCGCCTTTCGAGTTCCATAGCGTCGGGCATCGGTTGCCTTGGCGCGCCACGGACGCTGCCACTCCGTGCGTGTGGTCCACCCAAACTTCCCATGCCGAGGCTAGGTTGACAGGATTGAAGAGGCGTGCCGCCCTTGATACCACCGATAAACACCTCACGCACACCGCCATCGCTTTCGCCGGTACGGCTCTGCACGATCCCCATTGTTTTCACAGTCGTGGCCTAATATATCCTCCGGTGTTTTCGCACGCGAAAATCGTGACACACGGCAACGGTGGTGGCCAGTACTGTCACACCACGAGAAACGTCAACAATGATGATCGCGGCAGTGCATCCTCGCTCGAATGTAAATCACTTTTCTCTGTATTACGAGAGACGTCGATACGTGAACGACTCGAACCGGTCCGCGCCGGGTCGTGCAACAGGTATCAAGCCGTCCATTGTGGATAGAAACTCTCACGAACGTGCGCGAACTAAAGCATGACCTAACACTCCTCTGCCTACACTAGACGAAGCATTCGCTGCATCTGCGGCAGTCTTCCTACTCTCTGACACCACCATCTGACAACGCCATTGGCCATTACACATGCGTCGTGTCTCGCAGTCGTGCCACCTGTGTCGGCGCGAGAATTTCTAGTAGAATTGTATTATGCGGTTGGTAACCGTGATGTTGTTGATTATTTCGTCGCAGATGGAAGCACATACTACCTGATTGTAAAGAAAACTGAGAAGTTAGGAATATATTTTCGCGGAAATTATTTGTTATTAATAATAGAAATAATTGAAATCGTAAATTAATTTAGAAAGTTGGATAAAATTAAGCATGAACGAAAAGTGAAAAAATCTTTTTAAGTACGATAATGCAATGGAGTAGCGATATAAATTTTTTATCGATATATTTCAATTAATTATGATTAAATGATATGAGAGAAAATATTAATAGCGAAATTCAAATAAAATTTGAAAATTATATTGCATATGTTAAATTTAGACTATCGATAGATCGATGTTTAACATCCGCCATTTTGCCGATAGATCGATTGGTCATTTAGCGTCTCTTAGAGTAAATAATATGGTGGTGTTTTAGTGTATTGTTTTATAGGGAACATTATTTGTAAATATTTGTAGATTCTATGGAACAGCGGTATAGTATAAATAAGAATTTCAAAATGAGAAAGTCTCCTCTAAGTACGCCAAGTGGCAGTAAAGAAAAACAGAGTTATAATTGGAAATCAAATGGCTATAAAAATAGGACAGGTTATAGTTATCATAAAAGTGATAGTTATCAGTGTACTTCGTCAAATAGTGGTCAAAGATATTCTGGAAATGATTTTATTCCATTAAATAATAGTACGCCAATACCAGAATATAAAAAGTTCAATAATAATTGGCATGGTTCTGGAGGTCATAATCATCGTAATTCAGGTAGTGGTGGATTTAACCATTACCGGAACAATTATCATTCAACCCCAAAGTTAAATTTCAATAATTCATACTCTCCTTATAAGCTCTCTGGTAAACAACTCTTCTATGGTCAAAAAAAGGTAATTAGGAATAATAAATACAAGTAAATAGAATTTCAATAATCGCTTCTATGATTACTAAGCTGTAGTGATTAACAAGTATCGTTTTTATATTTAGAGTTTCCAAAATGATAAGCATAGACAGAGCGACATATCACGTTATATAGATATGAAATCTTTTTTGGAAGATCCTTGGGCAGAATTAACAAAGGAGTTAACGAAAGATAAAGAAACAAATGGGAATGAATCACCTAAAATTGAATTGTCATCATCGTCGCAATTAGCTTATGTAGATACTGAATCGTATTCTGAATCTAAATCTATATCAAGCATTGACAATTCTTGCTTTAGCCCAGAATCCAAGAGTAAATCTTCTATAGATGCAAAATTGGGATTGGATGATACAGATATTAGTAATGTATCAAGAACAGGGAGTTCAATAGATTTAAAACTTGACAGTGTTAGTTTTAGTCAAGAATCAAAAAATGACAGCGTTTGCAATAATAATGATGATAGTGTTGATGAAGGCATTCTCAATGAAAATAATGTTAATAATATTAATGATATTTGTTCATCAAAGATAAATATTAGTCAAGATCTCAAATAACAGTGACAAAGAATAAAATGCGCTTAAGAGGAATAATAATTCTTTGGTTTGGTGCATGATACATTTCATATTGTACATATGGATGTATAATATAACAATTCAATTATATATAGATATTATCTAAATCTATGAAACGTCAGTTTCAGATTTTTTGAATAATATTCTAGTATATAGTTAAAAAAAAAAGAAGAAATTAACGTTTTAGTAATGTGAACTCTTTTTCCGGTTTGAAAATAGGTCTATCGCAGAAGCATATCTATATGCAAAATACAATGTATTGAAATTATCTTTTAAATTATATTTTCACAAAAAGGCTGTGAAAAAAAGAATGAATGTAGTTTATGTGAAAAAAAAATTATACATGTGCAATTCTTTAGTGTATACTAAAAAGGAAGTACATATGGGACATGAGGGAACATTAAACACCAATTTCTCAGTAATAGATTAAGTCAGGAAGAACATTCGAAGACATAGCGAACAAGCTAGAGTATGAATTAGACTTATAAATTGATTTTAAATTTACCAAATCTAAGCAATTAGTAATTATGTAAAAGAATGCTTGCATCGCTGAACATTTTTGGATGACGACTATCAATCGATTTGAATTTGTTGAGCGACATATATGTCTATTAGCACTTCTTCTCACAACAAAACCGAAATATAAAAAGGATTAAGAATGTAACATGCATGTAGTAACTGCAGTGCATTATACAGAAATGTAGAAATAAATAACCATAAATCATGTGCAGACATATATGACAGTGATCTTAAATCTTTAGTTATGTCAATATATGACATATATGACATTGATCTTAAATCTTTAGTTATGTCAATATATGACATATATGACATTGATCTTAAATCTTTAGTTTGATCTTAAATCTTTAGTTATGACATTGATCTTAAATCTTTAGTTATGTCAATATATGACATATATGACATTGATCTTAAATCTTTAGTTATGTCAATATATGACATATATGACATTGATCTTAAATCTTTAGTTATGTCAATATATGACATATATGACATTGATCTTAAATCTTTAGTTATGTCAATATATGACATATATGACATTGATCTTAAATCTTTAGTTATGTCAATATATGACATATATGACATTGATCTTAAATCTTTAGTTATATCAATATGTGACATATATGACATTGATCTTAAATCTTTAGTTATGTCAATAACAATGAGTTTATACATATTGTATTGTTTTTAATTTAAAACATAATCAGTCGTTTATTTTTGTTAAAATTCTTTAAGTAGCAAATTAACATACACTTCAATTGCATTTTGGATTAAAGAGAACCTACTAACACGAGATATAAAAATATGTATAAAATTAAAACAATGAAGTGATAGGGTATTAAATTTGTACAATTGTTATCATACAAAAAGAAAAATACACAAAAAATTGCTTATTTCCGTACTTTATACATTTTTATAGCATGTTTTAACGAGCAATGAAGCATAGAAGGTGACAAAGGTGTCCTATATGTTTGATTAACATGCTAACATAATGTACAAATGATGATCTGGTACAAAAATTTACATAATTTAAGAAATTCCTGTTTATTTCTCCAAATTGTGATTTTACATGATTGTGCAAAGGAGGTAATTGATGTCAAACAGATTAATTGTATGAATAATCTATATAAGAGAAAATTGTACATAAATATACTTAAATTATATAAATAATAGTAATTATTTACTTCTTTCTGTTACTATTTTTATTTGCCAGTGTAGATAATACAAAAATGAATCGGTTTTTTCTCATGACTATAACCGTTTGTTTTTAATGAATTTATGACACTTAACGATAACCACGGAGATAAAAGAAACTTTGATAATTAATCCAATCGAACGACCTTAGATCTCTAACCTTGTAGTATTGAAGGTAATGTTGTAATACAATGGCAAGTAAGATCGTGTAGGTGTATGAATAATTGATCGTGTATCGAAGTAATCAATATGAACTATATATTTCTTAGCATTTAAGTTTTTACTCCGCTTTTTAGAGCTTATTTTTTACTTTCTCATGTAGCAAAAAACTTTATCATTGATAAAAATAAATTGCAATATGTTATATCAGATTAGTACCGTATGTAGCTTCTTGAAATGAAAGTAGAGAAATTATGACGAGACCTCAAAATGTTTGCATTTATAATTAACGTAGATAGACACCGTTGTTGTTTAAATGATATTACAATTGCATTGTACATGAATGCAGTATAGCGTATGAACAAAGTCTTCACAAAGAAAAGACCTTTTACATTTGTACTTATTTTTTTATTTTTACTTCGAAAAGAGTTATAGTTTGATGCAGTTCTTAGAATCATAGTGTATATCTGTACAACTTCATGTGACTTGATGTTATCTACGTGGTTTACAGTGCATGTTGCGTGGATATGAACTTATGTAGAACACAGATATATCAGTGACCTTGAATGTTTATCACAATTTAACATTGTTTATTTTCACGGCAATTTACATTATTTTATCAAATGATAAAGTTTTGCAAGATTGATTTTCCTATTGAATATCGATTAGTTTCTAAATATTAGCATTAATTTATTATAATACTTATTCTGTTCAAGCATATCCTGCAAAGATGTAAGGGAATGAAATAATATCAGTTATGTTAAGTATTTATAAATTTTATATTTTCTTCATATTTTGCTTTTAATTGCCACAAATCAGTACAGTACGCATAACAGAATTTATCTGACAGAAAGGGTATGCTCGCTCATTTATCTACAAGAAGAGGAATTGATTACAAAGATTTAAAGATAGGGCCCGTTCTTCCATTCCTTTAATCTACATTATTCCATTGCAACTTTGTAGTATATTTTATTTAACATTCCTCTCTTTCTTTTTTTGTGCACAACAATAATGTAAATTACAATGATCTCTTCGAATTATCGAATATTTCGATAATTAATTGTTCAGCAGTAGATTAAAATTAAACAATTGTTGTAACGAGATACAAGCTTTTCTTTTCAATTATTTCAATTATTATTCGATATATGATATGTTTACGAATGAAACTTCTTTGAACGATAGAAGAAAAATTGAAAATTGAAATATTGATCATTTTCAAAGGACTTACAAATGGTATTTAATCAGCATATTGTTTCCTAATTTGTACACTAAATTGTACAACTGCTCTTTCTTAAATTTATATACTATAAAAAATGATCGATATAAAAAAAATTTTACCATATTAATAGTACTCTAATATAAATTATAATATTTCTCATTAGTATTCGTTGGTATTCACGTAGATTATATAAAAGTCACAATTTCTGGTTTCGTATTCAAATAAGGATCTAATATGAGTGTAATATATATGTCGGAGAAGGGTCAGGAATAAAGTTGTGGGCGTTTGATGAATCTTCATTGGAATCGGCCATCGTCGTGTTATAACGAAGGTACGGTCTGTTAATACGAGTATGGATGCTACCGACTCGACAATCAACCGCGGCGATTGCACACTCGCGATACTAGTGATGTTGGTCTTAGGTTCAATAACGAATCCGCGGTCAACGGGATGATAGATATACGTGCTCACAAAAATCTAAGTCGGACTCTTTGCGAAAACGTGGAATATCCACCGATCGTACAAACTCTAAGTAACTCGCAAATACGTCCTCACGAGAGGATGACTCTCCGTCGCGATGATGCTGCAGAGGAAAACTATGATAGGGTGTGTCTGAGGACACGAGATCATCGGATTCGTCGAGGATAGTCGTC